CAAACATAGGGTGTGTTGCATTATTTTAGAGGGGGCGGGGGGGACACAACACACATTGCTGAATCTTGCCCACCCTCTGCATTTTTCTGGCGCGCTCTCGTGCATGGTATGCGCTGTCTGTCATAACTGTCACCTTAAGGGCTAGAAACTTGATGCTTTACTCTTTCCAAGCTCAAATCAAGAGTGGCTGTCTATGGTTCCAGGGTCTTGACAGACAGCTAGAACTGCCAGTGGTTGGTGCTGGCGTACCGTTAAAACAGGAAAAGAGGAGGTCCAGAGATAAGATGGACTGACCTCCTAAAAGAAGCCAGGACTTTGGGTTTTTAAGAACAAAGGAAGGCTGTGAATGATAATAACTTTTGAAGGCCAGCCGTTCCTGGAACTGCTACGAACTTGAGAACAGATTAAAAAACAACAACAGCCAATTTTGGGGTGGATTTTATTTTCCATGTGGTATTTCATGGGCCCTTCAACCTTCATAAATTAAAATTGAGGTGCCCAGGTCATCATCCGTGTGCTCTTGAGGGCAGTGAAAGAGCAATGGCCCTGCCAGATCTTCGACATTCAGTGCTCTGCTCCGATCCGTTTTCCAGAGGGACGTGGTATCTGCAGTTAATTTGCCTGGTTTATTTAGTCCCCGTAGATTTCCACAGATGTGCCCCCACACAAACGAAAACTCGAGGTCAGCTTATGAGGCAGTGAGAATTCCCAGTGGTTTGCTTCTCATTTAATTCTCTTTACCCCCGTCCTGGAGCCACCTCCTGGTCCATCTTCTGGAGCAAAACCCGCTCTTGGCCCCTGGTGGGGAGCCTTCGCTCGGGCGAATTTCTGTTGGGAAAGAAAAAGAAAGTACCGTATTTTTCCGTGTATAAGACACCCCATGTATAAGACGCTCCCCACTTTTCCAACCCAGTATTAAAAAATCTAAGTGGGCTTAGCAAGTGTAGGGGAAAGGGATCAAAGCACTGCACGATTGCTTTGATCCCTGCTTTCTCCCTTCATGCTAAGCCCTGCGGGTCTTAGCAAAAGGGAGGGGGAAAGGGATCAAAGCAATCCTGCAACTGCACGATCATTTTGATCCCTTTCCCCCTTATACAGCCATGGAATTGCTTTGATCCTTTCCCCCTACACTTGCTAAGCCCCATGGGACTTAGCAAGCAGAGGGGAAAGCAGGGATCAAAGCCATCCTGCAGTGCTTTGATCCCTGCTTTCCTTTTGCTAAGGCTTAGCAAGTGGAGGGAAAAGCAGGGATCAAAGCTCTGCAGGATCACTTTGATCCCTGCTTTCCCCTCCGCTTGTTTTTTCTCTCCTCAGCTTACTTCCATGTATAAGACAACCTTCAATTTCTAGTCTAAAGATTTTAGACAAAAGTATAGTCTTATACCTGGAAAATACAGTAAAGTTCGGCAGAAAAGTTCAGGTCAGCTGCTGACTCGGGGCATGATGATGCAGAACAGGCTCCCTACTGACTTCTCTAAACTGCCCTGATATTTAAATCAATGCGGCAGCTCACACAGAAATATTGAATTATCAGAGGAAGGTGCTGTTTCTGTGTCAAAACACCACACATCTCGCTTCTCCTTCTCTGCTGTTATCACCACCCTCTTATTATTACTATTTTTTAATTTATTTATCTTACCATAACTGGCCAAATAAGGTGGGATTGTCTCTGTCTAGAAGGCAAGTGATTTTGAGGTATCTTTTACTCTTTGCATGCCGTCTGAGGCAGATTCAATTCCTTCCAGCTGATTTCTTGCCAAACCAGTTGCAAGCCTTTGTGTGTCCACTATTAATGGTTTCAAAAGTACAGTGGGACCCCCCCCCTTTATCAGTGGGACCAGCATCTGCTGAATCACTTATTCATAGTCTGAAAAGATTTTAAAAAGACCACCTAGAAATATATATTTCTAAATATGAAGTTACCAGAACTGGTCACTAGAGGGAGCCAGAGACTATGCTATTCATAGCTTGTGGCTATTGAAATCGCATTAGCTATAATCCATGTTTTTCAGATCCGGAACTGAAAAATATGGGATATGGGAGTCCCACT